AAGTCCTGTTCTAAAGCAATATTATCAGATATCTTTGAGAGATTCATTGTGCATCTGGACTCCTTTCAAATGAAACATTACTTGACAAGAAGAAGTGCCCATAAAATCATCCTAAATGGAGATTTGCAATTAATCACACACACTCTCCACTAAAGCTCCTAAAAAGCCATCTACTAAATTTAATTTTTCTTTCCTTAATATTCATATAGGCAATACTGAAAAATGATTTTTATGCGGCACTTACCCATGTGCCATACTTGCCCTTGCAATAACGCAATTTATGGCAGTAAGATTTTCAAATGTAATAATAAATGGCCCAGGTGAACCACCGTGCACTGGCAATTTAAACTAAAATGCAAGTTACTTTGAAAAACGTATATAGCTTGCAAATAAATTTAAATAATGCCGATAGCCTAATTGCATTATAATGATGACGGATAGGCCACATTTTCTTTTTGGAAGAGATAAAGGGAAAAACACAATGCCCTTCTCCTTCCTTCCATTTTCCTAAACTTTCTAACAAATCATCCAAATTTGAACTGGAGACCATAAAATAAATATATAAAATATAAGTCTTAGAGAATCTCATATACTCCATGTACTCCTCATGTACTCCATTTCTCTGCATTTCTCTGCACAACGAAACAACGTATTTGACTGAGAGAAGAAAATTGCAACATATTTCGAGTCCCTGGGACCACCAAATTATAAAAATAAACCATGGTAAAAATATCACGAGACCAAGCATTTAAAGGCATGCAGTGACTGCACCTTATCATGCCTCAGCAAAAGAGATAAATGGAGATTGCACTCACTCCAAGACAGCCAAAGCAGGGCACATGGGCAAGGAAAAGGACCAAAAAAATTAACTTGCATTTGCTAAATCTTCATTCTTCTTTATAGATATTTTACACCTAACAAAACTTTTACTGAAATGGTGATGGATAATATTACAGCTAAGACAAGAAGTTCCTCTTAAACCCATATTCTAGAGGTTAGACTAGTTCCTGAAAGGTACTACGATGCAGCCAGCCTCCGTGCAAACAGAGCTGCAGCTTCAGCAGAGAGCTTGGTCCAAACAGGTGTGCTGTGTTTAGAACTTTTATCAAAATATTTTGTTCTGAACACATACTACTACTACTATCAACGTGCCTCAAAAGAGCCTTACGGACAGAAAAACAATAGAGAGAACTCTATTTTAAAATCAATAGCAACTTCCAATTAGGTTCATCAATCTTTCACATTTATTAAAAATGAATAAGAAAAAATACAAATTCTCATTTCCATTTTTTTTTTCATTTGGGTAAGGGAAAAGCAACTAAAAGTGTCTTATTAATCCTAGAGAGAGAAAACTTGCAAATTAAGATTGAGCCGCAGCAATTGTGTTCCACGTATGTATCACTAATGTGAGCTGTTTCTACACAGCACCATGATACATGGAAGTTATTAACACACGAAAGCAAGAAGCCGCTTTCTTGTGCTTACTGCTGAGAAGTGCAGTAATAGGCATATGCTTAAGTATGGTGCTTTAATATAGATATGTAACAATTACGACATCTACTATAACTTTGAGGGGGAAAGTGCAAAAAAGCAACCACATAGGGAAAATGTCATTAAAGTGGGAAACAGCAAAATCTAGTGTATCAGAGGTGGAAGTGAAAACTTGCCAACTTGCAAGGTTAAAACTACTTTCTTACATTTTAGCCTTAGGTATATATTCTTGTGTAAGGAGGTCCATAATTTCACAGAATGCGCAGCCTACTCAGAACTAATTTTCACCAGTTGGGGATTCAACCGCAAGCAGTAATTTCTGAGTATGTACCTGTAAATATATGTTTGTATCTGCTACACAAAATGCTTCCTGCATATGATATTGCTTTTTTTTTCCTTAGAATGAGCAGCACTTCAGTATCACGCTTTACCAGCTTTGCTCCGCTGAAGTTCACGTTTACTTGCTGAAAATATCCATATCTAAGTCAATCACACTTAGATGCCAAACAAAATATTAACAATAAAAAATGTGTCAGCCAAAAAGCTACAGGACTGTATCCAATCACTGAATAAGCCTTATCATTGTTTTCATCTTCATTCACAATTTATGAACACTTCGGTCCTTCTGCATTACCGCTCTGCCTCACTGCCGAGCCGCTCAAACCCGATTTATTTATTCACTATAGACCCGTGCGTGCGGCATTGGCCGCTTAATGACCGCACGGCACCGGACGGCACTTTGGCACAATTTTCCTCTTCTTTAGTCGTTTGTCGCGCCAACGTGGAAGAGAGCGGCTGTCGCCTAAGCACTTTACATCACATCCTACGAAGACGGACTTTCCTCC